CTGCTGCATGACGAAGGCGCAATATCTTTGGGCGCGAACGTGGCTATATTGGCCGCAGAGCGCATGAGGCGCGTCGCGTCTGCGCCCGCTCAACTAATACTGCTCCTGCGCCTTCGCCATGCAGTAGCCTCTAATATAATGTTGGGGTGCGTGACTGCAGATGTCCCCGCAGGACCTCTCGACGACATAACGTCCTGGACCCAGTCAAATTTTGCGCTTCGCTAAAGTTCGTGCATTAATGCAGGTCGACCAGCCATCAAGATCGTTGAAAATCCTTTCTTCGTTGCTTTGGACATGCCGCCGCGAGTGAGATATCCGAAAGACGTAGCTATCGTCGAGATACAGCGAAACCCATACTTCGATATCAAGAACCTTGAAATTCTTGCCAAATGGTGCCCACATTGCACTATAACCGGAGCGTACGGTACGTTTACCATGTGCCATCTGCAAAGGTCACTCCTTGACAATAATTGTAAGAATTGGTGTATTTCCAGCTTGCGGTCTGAACAAACCCGATCCAAGCGCCAAGGAGTTGATGGCTGCATGCGCTGGAGAGAGAATAGTCGTTCCATATCCAGGATCTATGATCATTATACACTCCGATGACTTCACTGAACAAGAATTCAACGCCTTCTGCCGGAAAATAGTACATATGCAGGCGTGTATAACCATAGAGAAGTCCTCTTTCCGCAGAATCAAATGTCCAGCGCTGAAAACACTGATACCATGCAAACCTGGTAAACCGCCACATTTCTAGCTATTTTGCTATCGATAAGGAAGAAAACATGGTATGTACTTTAGGTATGCCAGCCTTGAGGATTGTAGAAAACTTCAATCTGATAGAAGTAATCTTGTCACCAAGTCTGCAAATCCCTGAGGGAGTCATACTTCTCGAAGTCAGAGACAATCCACGGCTACCAATCACCGTCCTCGAAATGTTGTTGAAACTCTGTCCAGGCTGCAGAATCTCCTTTGATGCAGGTCCGATCACATAGCAACTGTTCTTGAAAAAATAAGGTATAGGCAGGGATAAATCAGATAGGCATATGATCCATTTGATACATTTCATCCACTATGTTATTGGTCGGATCAGTGAAGCAACCATAGAAAAGCAGATGCCCACTTGACCCATTTGATCCACTTGATCTTTCGCTGTTTGGCACTTCACTGATCAAAACAATAGAGTGAAATGGATGAGGTGGATTAAACGGATTAAAGACAGTGTCCTCTCAAAAACTCGCATTCCAGTTTTCAGCTTTTCAGAGCCTTCTCAGCCATGCTGAAGCCATATCTAGGCTTTACAGAGCATGAAAATGGCAAAAATGAGCTTTTTTCGAAGCTCGTTTCAGCGGCCGCTCCGAATGCACGTAAAAAGTCGGCGGGACCCGGAAGATTCCGGAAAGATTTTGGCTTTCCTAGAAGCGCTTCTT